GTGTGTGTGTGTGTGTGTGTGTGTGTGAGTGATATGTTCCTGAGAAACAGGGAGGAGTTTGTGTGAAAATTGCCACCGTGGGAGGAAGAGTCCTACAGCGAGGGCAGGAAGTGATGATGCACTCGTCTGATATGTTGGCTCCTCTTCCAGGAAGTTACTTAAAACATTTTGTCGTCCATATCATCAACTGAAATTGAACTGAGTTTGCTGATACTCTAAACCAGCCAGGAGGTTGTTGACACGTTTTCTCGGTCAAGGACACTGTGACAGGACACACAGCCGCTTGATGAATTCATCTTGAGATGATCTTGTGCCGTTGGACAGTCTCCACAATCTCCATGCCACCCGGCTGCCTCACACTCTGAGAGCCTTGTGCACCCAGCTGCGTAGCCACCTGTGTCACCTCATAGACACTAACTGGCCATGGCAAATGTTTCGTGTCCTGTGTAATCTTTTGCATCTCTGTCATGATCATGTGAGAGGGATGTTTTACGAACAGTAAGACACTTGAAGTCGTATTTTACAGGACAAGATCTAAGACAGAGCTATGCTATGATGCCCGTATGGTTTTCAAACACATAATTGTAATAACAAAAACTCCAGCATGTTTTCATCTTGTCTTTTAACCTTTAATAAGTTATAGTAATAATGAAATATTATCTTTGCATTCAAAGTTTGGTAAAGTTTGACTCAGTATGCAGAGCTCTGACATGGAGAATCACTTGTTGTAGTGAACGCGCCCGTTGTCACGCTGCTGCTGCTGCAGAGCACTGGTTTTCTGTCTACACAAAGTTTATTAATATTGAATATATCGCATGTCCAAATCGCACCAAATTTAACACTGCACTTCCTTAGGCCCTTAACAATACACATGTCAAGTGTGAAGCCGATAACATGAACGGCTGTCGAGATATGCGAGTCGCAGACAAACAAAAAGAGATTTCTGGAATCATTAGACAAATGTAGTTTCAAATATGTGCATTTCATGTACCGGTTTATTTGTGTAATAACAGATTATTTCCAACATTACGTCTGTGCTAACTTTCGGTTCTGTCTCCAGATAATGTGGTAGATAATCTGCTGTTGGCTTGTTGACAGCCTGTCTGCTCCTCCCGCTTTTCATTCTCGCTTGTTGTCGCCAGATTTCAGGATTTACTTTGGCGTTTTATTTTCACAAGAGATTGAAATTATGGTTAACATTGCATCAGGCCTGAGCCGTAATAAACCGGAATTATCCATTAAATTTAGATCTGCAGTAATGTGATCCCGAGTCTGCATTTATCGGTTATGTTCCGCTGGCTTAAAAGGTGACTCAGCTAATCAAAACCACGACCTGCCTCTATCCATTTTGTAATCCTGTATTCCCAACCATACATCATAGCTCTACAGCTCAGTTGAGCTGCAGTTCTGCTATAAAGGTCAGTAGCTCCGGGCTGTCCGTCTGTCTGCCCGCATCTCCCACTTTTTCTCTGCTCCTTGAATACCTAAATAAGAAAGGTTAGCAGACTCAGCTGCTCTTGCTTGAAAGGTCATGTCAGAGAGCAGAGAGGAAGCATTCAGAATTATCTTATCTCTTTTATTTGTTTAGTAGTTTGCTTTGGAATATGTTCTATGTCTGTGAGTGTGCCTTTGTGTCCTGTGACTATCTCTCCTGGCTGCACCGGCATGTGTACCTTTGAGTTGTAGTTCGGCCAGTGCTGTGCGGGTGGGAGGCAAGAGTCCAGATGATTGTGCAGAGGATTTTTGGGCCTTCTTGATCAGTAGCTAGTGCTTATACTGGGGGAGGGAAGCTACAGAGTGGTCCCATTAAAACTTAAGACTCAGCTCATCGAGGGAGACAGTTGTGTGGAGGGGGTAATCTGATCTGATCTCTTGTTTTGTCTTTAGAGGAAATAATGATTTGCTATAACCCCCTCTACAATCACAACTGTGCTACTATACCATTGAAGGTGGCATATATATTAAGCTAAATAAAGCAGAGCAAATTGAATCATGTCATTGCTTCATAATGTCATGCAGACATTGACCTGGCTTACCCTCGGCACGTCAGTCAAAGTAGAGTGCAAATAAAGTCACCCCTCTCTCCATGAGATACAACTGAGCAGAAGAACCGAGGTAGGATCGAGATAAATCTGAAAGCCCGGGGAGCATCGGGGGAGACAAAGGGAATATGAAAATGAGCGACAAAGAGAGTGGAAACGCCACCCTTCAGGGATCAGCCAGAGGAGGAAACGTGACAGAGGCAGCGAGGGAACAGAGAGGAGGGAACTGCAGTGGATGTGAACTGGAAAAGATGGAGCGAGAGAAAAGTGGGAGGCAGAGTGGAGAGGTGGAGTGAGGGAAGGACCTAAATTTAGACATGGAAATCAGAAGAGAGCAGCTGCCTGCTTCCCTCAGGAGATACATTTAAATCAGGTCTGGGTGGCCAGAGGGGGGAGAATGGAAGAATCTACTCCGCTGGTCAATTAGGCGCACAGACCAATGCGCTGCTCTAATATAACCATCATCGTGGCCCCTTTGGCCCTTTCAGTCCCTCTGGACGTGTAGCACCAGGAGCTGACGCAAGGCTTAGGCAAGGTTAGGAATCCCCAGACTATTGTAAGTTTGTGGAGGCACTAGTAGAAGAAAGGAAGAGGAGAAAAGGGAGAGAAAAACTAATATTTCAAATGTTTTGCCTTCGTAATGACTGGTAAACATCCAGCTACAAATGTTTGAGGAGCTTCAGGTTTGACACCTGTCGCAAATAGACAGCAGCATCATGGATTTCTCAAACGTCATCTGGTCGGTTATTTCTCATGCTGAACTGTGCAGAAAACTGTTTGTTTGTGACCTTGAACACAACACAGCAGGAAAAATACTGAATTGCTTTACTGGCAAAACCACCTTTTTCAGCTGGTGTACCCAGGTTTAGAAAACCACCTGCAAATTTTGGTGTAAAAGAGGTTAATGTCTTACAAATGCTTTACATAATATATATAATACATGATATCATGGACACAGGTTTTTTATCTGCCCTGATAAGCAGGGTTACCTGCATATATAATCTGAGTGACAAGTAAAAGACATAAATATCTTATAAATGCTGTTGTTTCATAGCTGGACGGATATATTTTCAAAGCACCTATGTTGGCTAGAGGCACTTTGCTGTAACCATTAAATTACTCAACATTTCACGCGGAGAACTAACTAGCAGATTATATATATATTGAGGAATGAGAAAAGACTTGACCATAGTGCAAGCAAGCGTAGAGTTGACTCCCATTTTCATCGACATCTAAAAGGGACACATCCAGCGCCGCAGTAATGAACTGAAATTATACTTCATGTCATATTGTGCAGAACCCAGCTCAAAAAGAATCCTCATTTGCCACCATCCGGTATGGTGTTAAACCATTAACTTTTCTTTTGTGGCCGGCACAAAGGAAATAAAATGTATCACACTGGGCTGCATGTCGCCCAACTGCGTGCATGAGAAAAGGGAGGAAAAGTAAGTGATTTAAAGAGAGGAAGTAATAAAGAGAGCGAGGGCAGGCGCGGGAGAATGGTAAATCGTTGGCAGATCATGCCTCATGCAAAACTTCCATGAATAAAACATATTCCTTGCCTCCCATAGCGCGGATCCATTTTTCCTCCATTTCCCTCCTCTTCCCTCTCTATCTCTCACATGCATGATTAACCTCGGGAGGCCTTAATCAACACTGGAAATGACCCGTGCTCCTTGACTTACCTCTCTTCGCCGCTCCTTCTCTCCTTCACCTCATCTTCTCTCCTCTCGACGCGTCCTTCACCGCAGGTCTCTCTGATGGTGTTTGCCTCACCTGCTAACCCTGAAGACAAGTAGTTTTCTTGAGGGTTTATTTATCTTTCCCCGTGCAGTCATTAGCTGAAGTAAGGAAAACACAAAATTGGCTGCCGATAATTGCAGTGTTCAATCAGATTTAATACAGAAGCAGCGTTTGAATCGAGAGGCATCAGCAGTATTACACTGAAATGGAAATTGTGGCATTTAAAACTTAATTTCTGAATATTACTTATTTCTTTTTCTCCTTATACTTAATGTTTTTCTTTTTTTCAGTTTTTATGATCCCTAACCCTCCCTGGAAGGGATGGTGGTTTAAGACGGGGGTGTTAGCTTGGGATGAATAATCTTTCTTACCTCAGACTCTTTTCACACGTCTTTAAAACCTGTCCTCTGGGGATGAAGACAGAAATAGATTTATGGTTATTATTATTTACTTGCTTACTTGCTCCCTCAGCCTCCCTCCTGCCCTCTCTCTCTCACACACACACACACACACACACAAATGTGAGCTGTCCAGAGTTCTGAAAACCGACAGCTACCTGTCCGTGGTGCTGAAAACTGGCTCCGCTCGTCTAAGAGGTCACACACAATTACAGGATTTAATGCTGTTTGTCTCTTTGTTTCTCTCAATCGACGTGTGAATCTCATACACACACACACACACACACACACACACCAACACGGAGAAGAGTCCACAGAGAGTGGTTTTTAATTGGTCCTCCCTGTGTAGCTGAGGTTTCAGGCTTGATACCACAGGCTAAATGCCCCCTGTTTCTTCTATGTTAGGGTCCAATTTAGTGCACAGCCATGACCAGCCATCCTGCATGTACATTTAATTTGTAATCAGGGTGTTAAGCTGTTTTATTCCTCAAAGACATAAACCAGATTTCCTCTTTTCGTCCTGCAGTGTGAGGAGTCGACAGAAAGTATTTTCTAAACAGTATCTTAATTTTATGTACATCTGCATGAAAATCAATTTACTTTATAGTCAGCCTCCATAGTTACATGTTACATGTTACTCTACATGATCACCATCCTACTGAATTCAACTGTATTAAACAAACAAAGCCACGTTACAAATCAAGCAATAAAATGACACCATCTGTCTGACTCTGTGCACCTCAGTGTCTTTCGCTCCCTCACTCCTGATGCATCCTCATCTCCTAACTCTGTTGTTCTCTTTTGTGTGGCTTCGCAGGCGTCAGTGGTCAGTACCCTCTGGTTCAAAATGTGACGGTGACGGAGGGTGGCACTGCTAACATGACCTGCCGCGTGGAGTATAATGACAACACCTCCCTCCAGTGGTCGAACCCGGCACAGCAGACCCTCTTTTTCGGGGACAAGAAAGGTGAGTTGGAGACAGATGCACTTGTCTCCTGTGTTAGATTTGCAGTGGTTGAGAAATACACAAAACACACAAATAATTGAATTTCACTTACATTTTTTAGTTTGGAGAAAAGCCTGAAAGAAGAGCTTCTGTAACCCTGTGTGTTTGTCACTTGAATAAGCTGCTGTCTTTGTTGTCATAGCATCTGTCAAACATTTCATGTGTCTGCTTCTTCCTGTCCTGCTCGGTTCTTACAGTTAGTGCATTCACTGTGTAGAAAACACACACACACACACACACACACACACACACACACACGCCAAAGCCTGTTATCATGAGTCTTTAAAACCTCCCCTCTGAGGATGAATAGTATGTGGCTTTATTTTATCTCTCAACCTTAACACACACACAAATACTCAGACTTGGTTATTCTGTACATTTGTAGATGGATGACCACATTTAAAGATCAGTTGTGGAGCATGGCTACTGGCATTCTTTTATTCTTACTGGCATCTGAAGTACAAACATGATCAGTGTTAACATTGTTGCACAATTACAACATTTGAAATTGTTGTTCAGATCAACTTAGAACATCAGAAACAGCCCACACACGCTTCAAGTCCTTCTCGCACCCTCGTACTGTGTCCACCTCACACTGGAGAGTTATATGCTAAAAAACAAACCCAAACAGCCTGAGCCTTGGATGGAGCCAGTATGGCCTTGTGTGTAATTAATGTTGCAAAAGCATTAAGTTGGTTACAAATAATCAATTAATTACTTTCACATTGATGGTGATATTTGCAGTAGACTAGGCTACAGATCTAAATGGAGTAAATGGTAAATGAAGGTTATTTTCTTTTATAGGAGAGTCGCAAAAAATGTCCACATTTGTGGATCTCAACATGCCAACAATACTGACAATATAAAACTCAGACACAGTTGCTTGTTGTAAATGTGCCTAATGGAAAGGATATAATTTAATAAAAATATGATAAATTGAGTGTCTTTCTTAAACTAATATAAAGTATATTATATTATATATAATTTTTCGAAAGGATCTTCATCAATCTCACACATCACTACCTGTGAGACAATAACCTGAGGGTTATACACTCTGCAGAACAGATTTCAAGCTCTGTATAACAAACACTTGATGCACTGGAAACCGTCATGGTCCTGCACACACACACACACACACACACAAACACACTCTGCGGAATTGTGGGTGTGGCACAAAGCCACTAATGTTTAATGGCTAATAAGTACAAAGGGTTTATCCCTGACCTTTCACGCCCTCTTCAGTAAAGTCCCCATAAATAGGATTCATGGGTGTTATTTTGTTGGTCCATGCCTGCTGAAATGATTGTGCCCTGTGCGTCTCTCAGCTGTATTAGTCGAGTGTAATAGAGTATGAATCACACTCTCTTGTAAGTGTCTGGATTAAGCACATATGGGATTTACACAGTCTTCCCCCATTATCCCTCTGCCCACTGGGCTGCCTCGTCCATTCGTGTGCTCACACACTGTGCCTGCTCTTGTCTGTGTTTGTGTATATATATTTTACATATAGTAAGTGAATGCATGCATGTGCAAATCATTCCAATTTTCAGCCATTCACATTTTCACTTACCCACCTTTCTTTGGACAGAGTGGCAGTAAAAAGCTGCTCTGAACATCAAAATCAACAACTGATGTTCTCTGCAGGTCATTCCATATCACAGCAGGGGTCCGGCCTGGGGGCCTTTTTCATGGCATTTCCAGTGCAGAGCTCTGAGATTGGAAATGAGGAAGCAGTCAAGGACCCTCTTATTATCAGAAAGAGCAAAGGGATGCTGCTAAGCCCCCAGAGTTGGAAGCTTTTTTGGGTTGACTGTGTCTGCGTGTGTGTTTTGGTCGGTCACCACAACTTCAAAGGTGTGTTTGAGGGTTAAGACTTGGTTTTAGGGTTCAGGGTAGAGTTGAATTTAGATTGATCTCAGAGTAAAGGTTTGGGTCAGGCATTTAGTTGTAATGGTTGATAAATCTCGTTGCCCATCGATTATCATCTGACGATGAACAGACGATATTTTGGGTCTACCGGTGTAGACGGCAAATATCCATCTGCTATTCGCTGTACACTGTTTACCAGTTTCTTTTAATATGCCAGTCAAACGTTTCTCCATACAAAACACAACCAGTGATACTTTTTGTTGGTATTTTAGGTCCAGACAATATTTTGGCTGATCTCTATTAAGAGCTATCTGCGTATGAATACAGATCAATTAAAAAGATGGTGCATTTTGGTCAATGTGTACCATCTCTTTTGGTCTCCACACAGACTGTTTACCTGCGGGAAACAAAAAATCCTGCTCGAAAATGATCAAACTAGAGACATAATCCAGAAGCGTTTGTCCCCAAAATCTTATCCTATGTCTACAGTCTCTATTCACATGCAGTATCTGTTTATAGAGAATCTTTGGTTGTGGTTGGGGAAAGGAAGGGCAGTGCATTATGTCAATGAGCATCCTCACAGAGATAGGAGTGTGTGTGTGTTTGTGTGTTTGCGTGTTTGCGAGCACTCTGGGAGTTATCTTGCTGAACGTGGCAAATTCAGATGCACATGCTGATGGGCGCACAGAGATGTCGTGGTGTTTCCAAAGTGCCACTGGCAGTGTGAGGAAGGAACAATGTCTCAGCTGCAAACGCCTTTGAGCACAGTAGGTTTCAGATTAATTTTCCGTGCTGCCTGTTGGGAGGAAAAAGACGAGGATTAGGACAAGCACACCGTTGTGCAAATGTTCTACCCTAACTTGCCAACTTTTTGCATACTTTTCTAAATACCTGTTTGTTTGGTTTTTTTTGGGGGGGGGGGAGGGGGTTATACCAAAGTAAAGTTAAGTTTTATAGAGTTTTATTTGAAAAGTTTATTTCCTACCCTATTTTAGGTTACTGGTTGTCTCAATGAACTCAATGTAATTTTTTTAGGTATTTACTTTTAATTTGGTGCAATAATTTGGACCAGAACATTGAAATTTGTGATTTAAAATTTGAATAGCTTTGATACAGATTACATTAATATTATAACCAGTATGCAGGTTAACCATCAAGAAATGGTTGGATTAATGTTTGGTGTCGGATTCAACAGATTGTTGTCTGTGTGTGTCTGTGTGTGTGCTATCACAGATTGTGTGGCTCTGTTGAAGGCAGCCGCAGAGCATTTGCATAAACATATTACTTACAAAGACAAATGCAACCACTGACTCCATTACAGTCCTTTGAGTGGTGCTGGTTTCATGGCTGTTGTTGTTTAATGTCAAGGCTCAGTCTCACCTCCAAGACGTTTAGTCAGATGAAAGCGACTCCTCTTGTCTCGCTCCTCTCAAAGGTGCCGTGGCGCCTGCGAAGAGTTGTTTGAATTTCAAATAAGCCATTGTCCTGAAAATAGCCGATTTTGTCCTTTCCATCACTTCCCACTGAGGGACTTCAGCTGTGCTTCGACAGCGAGAAGAGGAGATGAGCACTGAGCAAGAGGGATTCTGCCTTTTATGAGATTCAAAAGAGCCTAATATCTCTTTACAAATTGCTCTTTTGGTTCCGTGTAATTCAAGACTCGATAGTGTCTTTATTTCCTAGATGAAGAAATTTTCCAGGGAGTCATAGTTTCAATTTATTCATTCTTCCCACACTAGAAAGACCATATGTATAATTACTTTCCAGGCAAAATTTGTAGTGGACTCATCATGTGTGAGCACCAACTAAGGTTTGACATTTAAATCACTTATTCAACACGGTTGCGGTAATTTGCTAACCTGTCTTCATCCCGTTTCTCCTTCAGCGCCCACATCTGTCTTGTCATTTCCAACCTGCTAAACTCCCTTCATTCATTCCTCTTTTTTAATTTCTGCCCTCTGGAGTATGGCTGGAGGGAGGTTTACTTGTCCTTGCGAGCATCAGTAGGTTTTTGCCCCCACACATTAAGTAAACCTGATCATAATGTAGCTCTGGCTAGAACAGTGACTGATTCAGCAGGTACAGATGTTGGCAGATGCAACATAAAATGCTGCAGGTTGCGGTGATTAAAAATTTCGGATGCAGGTCATTTTGTGTTGACACACTTTGTGAAATTATTTCAAAACTTACTTTTCCCAATATTCACATCACAGAACTAGAGGTCGGACAGAAACCAAGGCCAACGCCGTGTCTCGCCATGATAAACAAAGTAATAAAAAAATGACTGAATATGTCGTTTATCCAGATCCACTGCAAAAAAGGGACTTTTTTAGGTTATGCCCCACCCCTCCAACAATTAAACAACTTCCTTGGTGGAGGTAATAATGATTTCTTTGTTTTGTGTCCACTGGGCTGCCTCGTCCATTCATGTGCTCACACACTGTGCCTGCTCTTGTCTGTGTTTGTGTATATATATTTTACATGATGTGTTTACGAATTGTGGAGTCCATGTTCTTGTTCTCTTGTTAGAATGGTTATAGCAAATTGGAAAAGACAACATGACCATGTAAAGGTCACAGTGACTAGGTCACTTTCCCCTCAGCCTAAAAACGGTGAGTCACCACACATTAGTGCGATACTGCTGCATTCATTCAAGACAGTCTCTCTATATGTCACAGTATCTGCAGCGTCTTCAATGAAAAAGTTATAATATGTTGATGCTGTTTTCAAAAGTTCCCACTGCACCTGTGCTGGACATCCCTGCCTGTGCTGTGCCATCTGCAGATTGATTGAATCTGTTTAAACATTAAGATTAGTGTTATGGGTGAACAGCTATGGGCCAACCGCTCGTTTTCAGACTCCCAAGCTGTTGAATATGAAACCATTCAGGTCCTCAGATGTCAAATATTCAGCTGTATGAATCAATTTGCTGGCTGTCTGTGGCTGTGCAAGTGTGTGTGTGTGTGTGTTTGTTGCTTGTAAGTGCACATATATACGTGTGTGCCTGTGGAATGTCAAGTATTCCACTTCCCTAGTATGCAGCCGTGAAAGCTTTGATGCATTCAAAGTGTCTTTGCCTGAGCAATTTAGGG